CATGGACATCGTTAGGCTAAATTCCGACGCAATTATCTCTCTACACAGGTATTAAATATTGTGATTATAGTAATTTTAATTTTGTTCAAATACACAATTTCTTTATAGATTTATTGATGTGGCCGCCTAGTATCATACGTGGTATAGGTATTTCTAGTCGGCACTGATTGATATCCTTTAATTTTGGCTGTAATTGTCGCGACGATCACGATTAAACACAAAATAAAATATTTGCATATATTCGATATTCTTTTAAACACGAAAAACGATATTCGAAGGTCGCGATATTAATAATAAATTGGAATTGGACATCCCGGCATATGAGTTTTCTAATTGGACACCGAGATTACTAGCGTCAGTGTACAATGCATCCGAATCAGTTAATGCATTCGGATACCAAACATCAATTTCTTATGTGATATATCTTTTTTTCAATCTGAAATATCGGTGACAAAAGTGGTATCGGTACATCTCTAGTTTACCCGTTTTATGGTGGCCATCCGTTATTACCCGTTGCATATTCATTTATATATAGGTGAGGTTATATAGGTGAGGTTTAGAATATCAATATTTTCTTAGATATTTGTACCAGTGTATGAACAATTGTTACATTGATGGCAAAATAATTTTAATGACGACACTAGGGATGATAATCTGTAATATCTTTCGAATCTTGAACAAACATACTTATTCATACTAGACTTAAACCAGGAAAAATTTTGGGCGTTTTTGGATATTGAGATGTGACGTTAAAACAAAGTAAGGCCAGATATATTCGAATAAGAGAAAATTGTTTGCGAAACATCTAACCTTCCATGGCCATATAATTCCGTTTGGCATCCATGTCTTTCAGTTGCGTTTCGTTCTTTATATATAGCAGAAAGAATGAAAAGTTTTGACTTTCGGATTCCGGTTCTTCTTTGAACGACATTTTCTGTCTTTGAAGTCGTCTTTTTCTAAAGCTTCCGGTTTTTGAATGTATACTACCATCACGATTGGAGACCACATGGGTGGTTTGTTGTTGTATAGATGTTATAGATTCCATTTTAACATATTATAGTAATTAGACGTATTGATGTACAGCCTAATTCTAAACTGCTCTCTGTGTCCTAAAGTACCACTAATAACGGGTATATAAATGAACATCTTCCATCACTCAATGCTGTATGCATCAGATAAATGCTTGATCAAATTTAACTTTCGACCGATATATCTAGAAACAATATGAGCTGAGAGGACACTGATGACACACTTTTTTATACAACCACGAATTTCTCTATAATTTGCATTTACGTGGTTTTTAAATTATAGGTGAATTTCAATAATCAAAATATATAAAGTTACAACACATTTTATCTTCTAAAACAATATTATTTTCTTTTATTCGGGAACTTTTCAAAGTTATTTGCTATTATACTGTATATATACTACGTTGTCGAGTTTAAGGAAATGTTAGGTATAGTCATAACATAAGGTGATTATTATTCACTACTCAGCTACATTCAAAAGGCGGTAGACATAAACGGTAAAGTGTTGAAGGTACCGACTAGGTATTTTTCATATGTTAGTACTCTAGATATAAACTCTGCATAAGTAACAATTTAATTAGTATATATGTATATGTCAAAACATATTTAAACTTCACCTGCTGTGTACCAGTATATCATAATCCTAATTATTCATTAAAACACATAAAGACACAAATCTTTGAAAAGGTTTGGCTTTTAATAGACTAATACTCAAAAATCTGAATTCGGGTAAATTGAAAATGGTTTGAAAATAAAAATTAAACTCCGATTCCAAATCGAACAATAAAATTATTTGTAATAAGCATCAAGGTGGACAAAATAATTTAAATAACAAATTCACTCGAACAATGTGTATTTGGCAGCAGAGCCTTCTATCTCTAACTTAAAATCATTTATAAACCCATATGTTTGTCTGTTTATTCACAATATTCTTTCAAGATAAACTCAATCTACGCCCTGACCCGGAATACCTTGTGCGACTTATAACTTCGTACCTGTTCTCACTTCCTTATGCACTTTAAAATAATTTCTTTGGATTATCTTATAATTTTGATGAATTTCTGCAACAACAAACGTTTCATTTCGACATTCTGGCACGGCTTATTTTATATTTACTTAATTAAGACTCGCAACAATTCTTTAATCGCTCGATTTCTACCTTTTCATATGGTTTCGACCTCGCAACCAAATGGCTTTACATTCCATAACTCAAACCTATAGACAGTGTTTTGATATGTAAGGTCGATGAAAATTCTTTTTTTAAAATAAAATAAGACATCGTCAAATACCAACCAAGTCAGACTACGTTGGTTTTCGGGACCTAGCTAAAAAAAACTGGATTACGCGGCGTTAAGTCGGCTCTGCGTTTCGTCACTACTGTCACATGGCCGACGCGAGTGTTTTTACTAAAATAAAGGCACAAAGCGTTAGAAAAGGGGTTGGAATTTCGGGATACCAACCCCATCTAAAAAAAAACTCAAAAACGTTACTCCATTAGATACAAATATACGCTAAAATTGTTCTGTGAGCCGCACGGAATGTATCAGCATGACAGAGTTTGGACCACCCTGGTCTACCTTATCAAGAAACTCCCGACTTTGCTGACCAATATATCGTTGAAATGCGATCGTGGAACCGCCACATAGTGTAAATAGTTCATTGGTCCAATTGTTGAAGAAAATAGAAATTTTTTCAAAATAAAAATGCAGCAACAAGGTAAATACTAGAAAGCAAAAACCACAACATTTTGAGAAAACGACTCATAGGCTCATTTCGTGTCCAATAAATAAGTTTCAGTGTTTCTTTTTAGTAAAGAAGGTTAATATGATACTTGAAGACAAAAAATAAGCGAACATTTTGAAGTTTGAGTCGTCTGTTGAACTCGTAATATTTTAATAAATACCGATAAACTATATAAAATTCTGCTCTAAAATTTCTGTGATGCCCCTCCTTGCTTGGTGCCCTAAGCACGTGCTTATATTGTTTAATGGTTAATCCGGCGCTGTCAGTACCTGTCATGTTTGTTCAATGTATATATATATATATATATTTTATACAATATGAATTTTTTCTTTTATTTTTTCAAATTTGGTATACTGTTCCTTGAACTGACACATATTAAATTTGTATTGCAAAAACTATGCAAGTTTTACGAAAAATCAACATTAAACCGTGCATACAGAAACTGTAGCCTACTCATTTAGAAACTGGCTATACACTATCAGCAGTACTCGACCTGTTGTGATATCAGATTTTCCGCAAACATGAAAATTTATAAACAAATATATTGTTACTAAGAACTGTTCTATATCAAAAGTTATCAACTAGAAATCAAGCTAAAAATATTTACCGTCTTTATTACCGCAGACAAAAAATCAACATTGAACCATGCATATACAGAAACTGTATTAATTTAGAAACTGATTATACACTTATACCAGGGGTGTGCAACCTTTATTACAGGAGAGCCAGGTACAAGTAACTGGGTGAAGCCGCGGGCCGCACCTAGAAACTCTACCTACGAAAGGCTCTGGATACGAAAAGTCCGAATTACGAAAATTTTTATCGTAAAAATATTGCTACGGCTATCGTAAGATTTTCTACATACGAAAGGCCGAAAACTTAAAAATATGTGCAGTGATATTTGTTTATCTTAGAAAAATTTAATGCAGTGCTTGAATAAGCAATGTCCAATTCGAATTTAAAAATCGAATATCGCGACCTTCGAATATCGTTTTTCGTGTTTATAAGAATATCGAATATGGCGCACATATCCTAGCGCCGTCGTCCACGTTTTGATTTGAAATATTTTACAATTATTGACCCGTTTTTTCCCCGCGGGCATAGCGAAATTTAGTGAGAAGACGATGATACAATAAAAAAATTTGAATTGCATGTGTGTGTGCTCATTATCGAAAATTACGTTCTCTCTCAGCGGTCAGCTTTTGCCGCCTCCTCCCACTCTCTGCGGTCTTCGTTTAGCGTAGCCTAGTCTACCCAACGCCAAAGATAAACAAACATACCGTTCGTAGTGTTTTTATTCGGTATTTCTCTGTTCTTTCTTATTTCCATATGTACCTTCTTTATTTATTATGCAGTAATTTAAGTCTAACATGTATTTGTTGCGGGTTCTAACCATTATTATGATTTATACAAATGTTATGTCCATTTTGTAGGGGCTTAGACCGTTAGGGCATTTACAGGTAAAATGTGTCCCTACTTACGGAATTTTCTACCTACAAAGGAATTTACGAAACGAATAAATTTTGTAGATAGAGTTTATACTGTAGTTGCAAGCACAACTTTTTTATTGATCTTATGGCATTGTTAGGGGTTCTAGCAGAAATGTTGAGTTAAAATGCATAGATTTCTAATGAAAACAGATATTCAAATTTATTATCACACCGACTTTAAACGAATACAGTATAAGAAACATGTTTTTATAACATTTTTTTGTTTGTTTTTGGAACAGGATTTTGCTAGCTAGTTCTGCTAATATGACAGTAGCAGTCAAGTACTGGTATTGACTTTGCGCCGCAAAGAGATTAGAATTGCTCGCACATACCAGATTAACTAAACTAAAAACTCGTTTCGCGAACACACTATTTAAAATTGGCACTTCTCCGCGGTCCGCACAATTTTTCCTTGCGGGCCGCATTTGGTCCGCGGGCCGCAGTTTACACACTCCTGACTTATACATATTTTAAAAGGTCATTTTGATATCACTATGAACAATACTCAACCTCTTTTGATATCAGATATTTCGCACACATGAAAATTCATAAAGAAATTTATTGTTACTAAGAACCGTTCTATATCAAAATTTATCAGCTAGAAATCAGGCTATAAATATTTACCGTCTTGATGACCGCAGGTTTTGTCAAAATTTTACTTGGCTGTTGAGTTATCAATGAAACTAATGTTTCTATTCTATCACCCTACTATTCTTAAAATAAATATTTAAAGCCTCACCGTTAGCATTGCCCCCTGGTATGTATATCGGTCATCGCCAGTTTTTCCTTGGATCCGAACTATGGAAAAACAAAATAATTAGCAGTTACCGACTGATAATGTTATCTAGAGACTGTAAACATTAGAAAAAAATTTTAAAGCGATTTCGCCATACTTCTCACACGTCTACATCACAATAGTAATAATGAAGTATTTGAATTTAGAAAGAGTTCAAGGATTAAAATATGTGGTACCGTGTCGGTTTGCAGAGATTGCATTATACGCATTAAAAAAGCGAGTTATTTTTGAATATTAAACACTAATACTGACTGTAAAGTTTTTCTCCCGGTAAGAATCTATATTTATTCACAACAATTCGATAATATCGAAGATTTGCAAAATCCTTGGCAAAAGGGGGTAAAAGCGGCTTCATGAAATCACACGCAGTGTCTTCTGGTCCCCACATGTATCCGTGCGCCATACACACGTACAGCAGAAGTAGAAGTTTTATCACTATTGTCATCTCACTGGACTAATTGAGAACAAAGAAACATTTTAATAGGCGATACAAGAATGGCACCTAAATCTATATAATTGTCTTCAATCTGCACTTCGTTGTCGGTTGTCGGTTAGGTTGTCGACATTAGAAAGAAAAAAATGGGTACTCCTGAACCAAGATTGCGGGCACCGGAACGCAATATGTGTACCAGGTTAGGGTCCTGCCATATTTTCATTCCAATTTTCTTTATTTTAGTTCTATTCCAAGTTCGGTGACTAGCCAAGCGACTCTCGTAGTATTTGTGCCTGAAATTATGGCCTAACACTAATCTGGTACGAATACTACGTTCCGGTGTCCGCCATCTTGGTTCACATATTACAGGAGTACCTACCGAAAAATGTATGATTCAAGTATTGTACAGCGAATTGATCGGCCTCGTGTAGTCATATAGTAGGGGCGGTTGGGCGAAATATTTATTCATTCATCCAACATTAAAACTAACTACTTATCCATTCAGTAAGAACAACAAAAATATCAATTTTGTTTGAAAATTAACCCCACCTCGTTGCTCAAAAAGAATCCGCGATAATTCACTTTATACAAGGTAACGTACACCAACCTCTGATTCTAAACATTATATCTGATGCTTTACAGGCTGGAAATTCATTATTGCCAGAGGGCAAAACACAAAAGCATTACCTAATATTAAAAAATTATAATATATACACATCTACTGTAGGCTACTTGTGGTATTGCGACGAATTTTGTTATTTCTACCGAGTTTTCGACTTTCGTTTGTTGGCTCTCAACTTATTTCCACTTTCACAATTAAGCGATTGCGACTCCGATCCACTGAATCCCTGCAAGATATTATCTATGATGTTATTGACATTGTAATTTGAAATAAGACATGTTTGATATTTGTATGAAATAATCAACAATAAATGCGATACCATTTCACGTCACGCTTGTCTGATTTCCCCGGCAGCACAATACTCAAAACCACATTTCAAAGTTATACTTCGATTTCAGTTAACGCATTTGCTGTAACTTGAAACAGTTAATTTACAAATAAGTTGCTTAACTCGTTTTCATATACTTACGGTTGTGTATGAATAAAAAGCTAATTCGTTTCTTGCCATCTCCAAATCATAAACAAATTACCTTTAAAAATAATACAATCAATACAAACGATGTATGTTGAATAGTCGGTTGCAACCGTGATCTCCGTGTCGCCATTTTCAATAGATTCAACTGTAACCGTACACACATGGATTATACAAACGGTTTTGTTACAACCATAGTGATCACAATCGAAGTAATTGATCACACTATATAGAAATATTGAATCAATCAGATTATAAAATGTTATTTTTCAACACTGCCCTCGTTGACTAATGACTTGCTTAGTTTATTAGATATCAGATATTGCTTTTTTGCTAAAAATGGATTCCAGTGCATAGTTACTTTTTTTATAAATCGAAAATTCTAGTATCTCGTCCGTTGGCCCAATGCCACATTTTCACATATATACTTACTTCCACGCAAGGCTGTATTCACGAAAAAAGCTCATTTTTCAGCTACCACTATCTGCTGCTTTTGAACATGTATATAATCGCCGTGATATCCTGATGAATTCCTTTTGAAAATAACACAATACCTTCTTGCGCAGCTGCTGTGTCATGGACGTGCGAAGAAACTCGAGAGTCTCTATGATCTGCGTCTTCTGTATTTTTAGAAATAGTTCCAATTTACAACTAATAAATCAGATAGTGTTTAACAACTGAGAACTCACGAATTCCTCGATATGTTGCTGTTTCCTTGGTTTTGAAAAGTGCGACCACGAATTCTTTAGGCTCAGATCTATGTTTGAAAATTTAAATAACGTGTAATAGACTGCATTGTCAAAATAGAATTATGAAGCTGCTTTAGATTCATTTTATATTAAGCTTTTTAAAACAATTTTTCTCATTATCTACTCAAAAAGAATAGCAGGTGAACATCCAATTTTGTTAATGTGCTTCTCACAATCCTTCACAGGTTACACTCAACATTTATTTATCTGCACAATCGATATGCTTTGGCGCCCTAAAAACAGAATGTTGCTGCCGCGGGAATGCGATGTCAAAATGCCCATTAAACTCAACAATATCATTATCATAGTAACTTACCCAGAATAATAATAGTTCTTAAAATGAAATTTCACGAATTCAGCCCGCGCCGCTTCGCTGAATTATAATAACAAAACAGCCCACTTTCCGACCTCCATCAACTTACTTATCTTCGACCTACGACGCTATACCACTCAGCCTCTAACCTAACGGCGCTACAAAGAACTCCACCATCTTGCAACCAACTTCCATGTGTTACACTGGTCGAGTATGCCAATGAGATGATTCAATCGTACGTCGACAAAACATGATTAACGGCATTCGTAAATGTAGGCTGGAATCTCAATTGGTAATCAATAACCATAATGAGTGGCTTAAAAATGTGCTACTAATTAAGCTACTGGTGGCCTCGGGTTTGAGGTGACCGTTTTTAAAATTTCGAAAGGTCATTCGATATCGACATGCATGAGTTCATTTTCAGAAACTCATTCAATGTCGCTTGTATTTCCGTTCAAGACCAAACGATGAGGAAATAATAAAATATTTGCACGCTTAGTCATTTTCAACGAATGTTCTGCCATATTCTGTTGTATATACAAATTTCTTTTACGTGACTGAGAAGGCTGAAAAGTCAAAAACAGTCAAAAATATAAGTCGCTCAGTGTGTAATCCCTTCCAAACTATCTTATAGCCATGAAATGTTTTGTCGTAGCTAGCGTTACCAACTGCCCTTTGATTCAGCGTATAGTCCCAAAATTGAGCTTATCTTATCTGCAACTTAATTAATGAAGTAGCAAAGGACGCAGTTAGTACGTTATCTTTGGCATCGCTTTTACTATGAAATGTTAAAAAAAAATACTATATACCGACCAGAGCACTATTGCTTATTTCGGATCAGCATCATATCTGCCACAAGACTCACGACATGGCCAATTATTGAGGGCATAAAACGGCCTGCTAAAATTTAGAAAACTGTTATTCCCAACAAAAAAAACCATCAGTAGCCCAATTAGTAAAACATTTTTAAACTGCGAATTGAGGTTATTGTTTACTATTTGAGATTCCAGCCTACATATACGAATGCTGTCAATCATGTTTTGTTGAACATTCGGCTCCATCGTGTGTAACCTTTTGAAAATTTTGAAAAGCGGTACGGAGCACTTGGCTTTATCAAGGGTTTGTCCTGGCGCCCCTTGATTCACCAAAACAGAGTTTGTTTAGGGTTAAAAGCCCCGCTCTGCTCGCTTTCCGTGAGAGGCCCCTCTCTGCGCGTTTTTTAAGGGGCCTCTCGACAAGGGAGAGTGCAACGGTTTTCGGACCCGAGCACCAGGCCCTCGGCCGAAGAAGTATAACTGCTTTAAGGACGTAATAATTCAGTTTATCTGCCGAAAGCCTAAGTAACTTGAAGATTGGAATCTGATTTACTTGGACTATTAACTCATTGGATTACTAACACTTGGACATATACATTGGGATTTATCGGACCTGAAGATGGCTTACGCTGCAGCTCTATCCAAAGGACAGGCGCCCGAACCAACATCGAGGGAAAGGACACTACTTGTAGAAACCTCCAAAGAGCTGACGTTCCCTCAAATCTACGAAATATTTCGGAAGTCACCACAAACGGCAATATACGCCAAAGATATAGGATGCTTGTGGGAGTCGTCGCAAAACAAATGGATTTTATCTTTCAAGCCCCTGGTTGACGGGACGGACAATCGCCGAGAGACCCTCCTGGACAAAACTGACGGCCGTTTGGTCTATGGAGACGTCACCATCACCCTCTTCTTGCCTTCTCCACCGCCAGTCAGGATTTCCGTCCGCGGAATCGCGTACGAGACATCCCGGGAAGCAGCGATTGCAGCTATGAAACGCACCGGATGTGGAGAAATAACCAAGGCTGTGCGACTTTGGCACAAAGGTACTGATGTCCACAATGGGCACACGGCTTTCATCATCAAGAATTTTAAGATCGATAAACTACCTCCATTCGTTACCATCGATGGCATGAGGTGCAGGACGTTCCTGCCAAAAGAACTTTATGTACCACGCTGTAACAACTGTTTTGAAAGCGGGCACACAACGGCGTCTTGTGTGAACGAGGTTCGATGTCGTGCCTGCAAACAACCAGGTCACCTACAGAGACATTGCACCAGTGGGAAACCAAATCAACCAATAGAAGAGGAGATAAGAACGAATCGAAGGTCAAAACCAATTGGAACAGACGCTTTGACATCTATGTCTGTAGTTCCAGCGGTATTTAATCAAACAATTTACCACAAAATTGATGATGACGTCTCGATAGGGCTGGACACAGCTACCTCCTTCAAACCAAGAGGTTTCAGTTCTGTTAAAGCGCCAACAACCCAACATAAAAATATTGTCACAGAGGTACAAATACACAACGAAGACGCCGAAGTAAATAAAGATAAATCTGAACCCAGGAAACCTGTTCCATTTGAAATTACAGAAATAATATCACCGATAATTGAAGCTTTGCCCAGAAATAACAGCCAAGGAATCACTTTGGACTCGCAAGAACCAGAAATTCAGCTTGCCCAAAACGTGCCTCCAACACAATGGGGAGAGGATAGGACGTTCTTATGTACGCCGCCTTCCCAGCCTAACACAGATAATGTTTTCGAAGCCAGAGAAATTGAAGACGGAGGTCCAATGGCATACTTATTTGCCCCAAGGTCACAGCAAACTTCTCGGAAGAAGGCTATTGCCAACAAGAATGTGACTCTGTTAAAATCGTCGAACCCAGTAGCTGCTCTAAACCGACCAAGGAGTCACAGCGACCTGAGAGGGAGACCGGATTCACCATCACAAAAAAGAATGAATACCAGTCCAGAAAAACCCGACTCCAGCGAAAGGAAAAAAACCAAACCGGTTAAAAAAGCAGTCAACACCGAAAAGAAATAAACTTACTAGATGCGGTTGTGCTCCATCAACGTAAACGGATTTAGTATACACAGGGCAGAAATAGAAACTCTTATCAAAAACTACAAACCGGATATCTTACTCATACAGGAAATGCACAAAATTAATATAGTTCCAATAGAGTCATGGTCCAAAAATCTCCATTACAAATTATATCACAATACGCTATCTCATAACAGGTCGGACATCAAATTCTTTAAATCGGGTACTGGTATCCTAGTTCACGAAAAAACTGAAAATACTGTTATCAACTATGAAATCATAACTGAAAACAGGGTTGATCTGCTACGTATAAAACTCGACGAAACACCTTTGAACATCGTGAACGTTTATGTCCCATCAGGAAGACAAGGTGCTCAAACCACCTTTTTTCGAGATTTATCGGAAAAATTGACTGAAAAGTTGCAATGTATGCAGCATCTTGTGATGTGCGGTGATTTTAACTCTATATTGGACAAAAAGGATGCTTATTTTGTAAAGGAATTTACTCTCTCCAAAGCCGAAAAAATTTTTGACGCCTTCCTTACGGAACATGATATTATCGACCCATTTAGATATAGATACCCGGATAAAAAAGTGTTTACTATGAAAATCCATAAACAATCTCGACGTATTGATCGAATCCATCACTCAAGAAACTTGGATCCAATAGTCAAAAAATTTCAATATTATCCAAATCTCGTTTCGGACCACATGCTATTCTCATTCCTTGAAATTGGGGAGTACACACAACCTCGGTGGGGAAAAGGTGCATGGCGGAACAACGTGTCGCATTACGCCGACGATATTTATATTGAAATCATAACCCATAAGTTTGAAGAGTGCCTTGATTTCATGGGCCACTTCGTTACAGCCCAACAGTGGTGGGACTACTTTAAACACCAAATTAAAAGTGAGACAATCAACTTCTCGATATATAAAGCAAAATATAAAAGGGACCAAAAACTTCAAATTGAACAAGAATTAGCGGAGCTGATTAGAAACGGAAATGATTCGGACACCAATAAAATTTATGAATTAAAATCAAAATTACAGGCCATACAGAAACAAAAAGTTGCTTTTACCAAAACAATAGCTCATATCGAAGCCACTGAGGAGGAAGAAAAACCATCCCGCTTCTTCTATGATAAAATCAGATACAGAAAAAACAAATGCACTCTACGAAAGCTTGTCCTCCCCAATGGGGAAACTACAACAGACAAAGAAACCATCTTAAAAACAACTCATGAATTTTATAGCGACCTCTGGGGAATGAAATCAAACACAGATGAAATACAACAGCGACACCTAGTTGACCTAATGAGTGAACCTAAAATCATACATGAAGTTTCCGAAAATCTGGACCTACCTATAACTGAAGAGGAAATTTATAATACTATCAAACAAATGGACAATTATAAATCACCTGGTTTTGACGGTCTAGCAAAAGAGTTTTACATCACTTTTTGGCCTTTAATAAAATTACAGTTCACCCAATTGATGAATAATATCTTGATATCCGGACAAATACCGAACAGTTGGCGCTACGCAAGGATTATTCTGTGTCATAAAAAAGGGGAAAGGACGATGCTAAAAAACTGGCGTCCAATTGCGAACCTTAACGTCGATTACAAAATCATGACAAAAATTCTGTCCAACCGCCTTAAAATCGCTTTGGACGGGGTAATCTCAAGTACTCAAAAATCGACTTTACCCGGAAGATCAATACAGGATATTCATAACAACCTGGATAGCGTAATTCGTTACTCTCACGAAAAAAATATTCCGTCATGCATCATGACAGTCGACCAACTCAAGGCATTCGATACGGTTGACCACCAGTTTCTTTTCAATCTACTGGAAACGGTGGGAGTGACCGAAAAAACAACCAATCTGATAAAAGGCCTATACTCCAATATCGTAAGCATCGTTGATGTTAATGGTGCATTCACCGAGGAAATCCGGATCCTGCGTGGGATACGACAAGGATGCCCCCTCAGCATGCTCCTTTATACGTTGAATGCGGAACCGCTGGCCAGGCTTGTTCTCGCAAATAAACGTATCAAGGGAGTTATGCTGGGGAGGAAGGAAGAAAAATTAGAACAATATGCTGACGACGCCACTTTTATAACATGCTCCCCTTTTTCACTGGAACACATTTTCAATGAATTATGGA